GCCTTCGCGTCATTTCTGACTCCTGGCAGCTGCCCCTGCAGTTTTCAGAAGGGCATTGCCCTGGCCGCCTCCTTCCCAGGGCTGAGACTGGCCCAGAGTCCCCCGGCTGGCCTTGTGCCCATGGTGGGATAGAACTTACCTAGTCGCCAGGTTTCTAGCCTGGTGCCTTCACCATGAGACCAAACTGGCTCTACACATACATGCTTACTGATAACTCATAATTGGAATCAATAATTTTAAGCATTTGAAATTGTTTTTTTCCTTTTTTCTTTCTTTGGAAGTTGATATTGCAATGAAAGAAAAAATTAAAAGAAAACTTTACAGTATACAAAAAGCATTTGGATAGTCCCCTCTTGTTCCCAAGGTCAGACCGGCCTGGACCTTGATGGCCTTCTGGAAAGGCCTGAAGACATGCTCTGTCATCTGGCCTGGGGATCAGGCGATGGTGGTGTGGAACCTATAAAATGGTTATGTTGTTCCTGAATTGACTGTGTTCTCCCATTGATTGTATGGTACAGTTTTAATTGTTTGTAATGTTTGTGTAATTATTTTTTGGTTTCTGGTATTGTTTTTTTAATCTTGTAAGCCACCCAGTCATGTAAGTGAGATGGGCAGCTATATAAAAATAAATCAAATAAATAAATATCCAGTTTTTCTTATGGGTTTCTGATGAACTCTAAAGACATGGCCTTCTAGGAGGTGGAGATTTACCTGGCCCAGTACCTTAGTTGCTGTTTATATTTGTGTGGGAATTTAGCAGCATAGAAACCTTAGAAAATACATATATGATAACAGCAGCAAGGGTTTTATTTGCAGAGGAGGAAAGAGGTGACATTACCTACAATGAAAGAATGGATGGTGATCTTGATGGAGTTGGCTGATGGCGAAATTGACAGCTTTGATTCGAAAAAAGACATGGCGTAATTTTAATGTTAATTGGAAACCTTTATTTGGACTTTTTGCAGGAAACAGAAAAAAAATTATGTTGTATGGATTTGATGACGTAATATGGGTTAATAGTAATAATGGTTATGTTGTAAACTTAGAGCAAGAATTGGATGTATCCTGCTACTTACATCTGCTGTGAGGGTCAGAAGTCCAGTCTTTTTCTTTCTTTGCCTTTTCTTCTCTTTTCGTTTTCTGCACTTTTGACCTTGACTACTCTGTCTTCTTTTTACTTTCTTTCCTTAATATTGATTCTTGTTAATTTTTACTGTTTTAAAGTTTAATAATTTTTTTTTAAAAAGAAACCTTAGGAAATACAAATGTACAGTACCTACCCACCTAACTTAATATTTGTGAAAAATAGCTTCCAACAGTAATTTGTTGGAAATGAAAATGAACCAGCGGTACAGCGTGGTTGCAAAAAAGGGAAATATGAGTTTAAGCTGCATGGTTTCCAAATCACAAGCAACAGCTCCATGTTATACCACTCTGGTCAGACCCCACCTTTAATACCGTGTCCAGTTCAGGGGACCACACTCTCCGAAGGATTCAGAACAATGGGAACAGGCTCGGAATAGGGCAATGAGGATGATCAGAGACTAGAAAGTTACGATGAGAAACTGAGGGAGCTTGAGAAAAGACTGGGGGTGGGGGGTGGGAAGGATATGGTAGTCCTCTTCAGATCCCCGGAAAGATATCACAGTGAGACAGTAAGTCCTGTTTTCTCTCATTCTAGAATGCAGAGTGTGGAAAGAAAAATCCGAGGAACGTTTTCCTGATGGAAAGACCTGTGTGATTATGACAGTGTATGGACATGGTGGGTTCTCCATCTCTGGAGGCTTTTGAGAAGAGGCTGGCAGCTGCCTCTTGAGGAGGGCTTAACTGGTTTCCCTGCACACTGGTTAGTGCAAGTGGTTTCTGAGGTCCCTTTTAACTTCACAGTTCGATGACTCCGTGGACAGATTTAAGTTACAGAAAGGCAGATTCCAGTTGCACATTAAGAGAAGCTGCTTCGGAGGTAACAGCAGTTCCACTGTCAGGGGAGGGTTCCTCTTTATTGGATGAGGACGCTAGGCAGGGCTGCAGAAAACATTCCTAAAGCCAGTAACAAAGTATGCCAACAAATAAAGGGAACTATTTGGATTTGCCCCAAAGGATCAGGTGCCCTCATCCAATGGCTTGGGTGTAAATTATTTTGCTTGCACACACTGTACATAATACAAGCAAACTCATAGTGGTTATTGGTTGGTTATGGTAGTCACATTACACGGAATGCAGGCATCTCAAAAGTTACAGATGAAAAGTTCCCATATGCAGAGATTTATTCTCTCTCCTTTGTCTCTTATATGACCCACATCTTTGTTTACTGTCTCCATGACTGGTTTTGTCAACTACAATGGTGATAATCCTACTTTATTCTACCACAACGGGCATCTGCCTGAAATGCTCTCACACTGAGCAGAGAATTGGACTTTCCTATGCTGTAATGCTGATTCTGCCACAAGAAAATTGAATGCCAGCCCTCGGGGTCAGCAGCAAAACTGTCTTGTCCAAATTCAGCTTCAGCTGGTTCTCTAATGTCCAATCTCTTACAGTCTGGTGACATGCACGTAAACATAGCTAGACTTGTGGACACTAGCTTCCAACCCGTGTGTATAGGAAACTTGGCTCTCCTGCAAAAAAAAAAGGGTCTCAATGGGTTACATGCTGAACATAAGCCAAGAGTGTGAAGCTGCATCTGTAATGAGTTCCTCAGTGCTCCTCAGTGTTGTGCTTTGGTCAGGCTATTCCTAGAACATTGAGACCAGTTCAGGACTTCTGGTGAAGAAATGGCAAACTGAAGAGCAGAGCCGATGACCGTGGCAGAATGAAGAACCAGTGAATAGGCTGGCGAGTACACTGGCTCTTTGTAATTCCTCTCCGGACAAGGAGAGGACTTGAGATCGCCCACAAGTGCTCCAGACAGTTGCTCCTCACGAGAAGACTGCAAGACAGAGGTCTCTGGCAGGTTTAGAGCTCTGGGAGATGAGGGAATAATCATCTTGCTCAAACTGCAGTTGGTGCCTTTCCAAAGAACACTGGGTTTGCATACTTCTTTTCTTAATCACTTTTGGAAATTGCTTGTTAACTGCTTTTCAGATATTAGAAACCTTCAGAACAGCAAGTTTTACTACACCAGTTGAGTCTTCTTCAATCTTTAGCAAAAGACGTTTTATACTAGTTTAAAGGTTTTAAAAATATATATTTTTATTGGAATAAACAGCAAAAGGGTGATTAGAACTTTGATTTTGGAAAGTTACAAACAGACTAACATTTCAGATGTATTTGAAATAAGATTTTGGAATCAATTATAGGAATCCTTCCCATGGGAAAATACTTTTGCTTTGACTTCTTTAAAAAAACACACAATAGGATAAGACTTTGAAGGTTGGACACTAAAGGGAACTAGAAGGAATTAAAGATTACATTTAAAAAAGAATACTTAAATCTGATTTACTTATACAGAACAAAGCAAAATATTTTAACATTAGACATATTGAAAGATATGTTTGAACAATGGACTCAGAAATTAATTTTAAGAATATCTGCCTCTATAGATACACTGTATTTCAAAGATCTTATGGAAGCGGAACAAGTTTTACCTGACAAGACTGAGACTGACCTGAAAGTGGAAGTTAAAAATGATAGGCTACAAGAATGATATGGAAAAATGCTACACTGGACACACAAAAGAAATTGTCTGATGTCTTAATAATTAAAAGGGATATACAAATAACAAACCAAAAGAGTAACCTGGATAATTTTCCTATATTGGATTAACAAAAGAGGCTTGTTAAAACTTTTTTATGAGAAGGGAGAAAGAACAAAATGAAATCACGTTCTCAGACATTATTAGATCAAGATTGTTAAAAGTAAAAGGAATATAAAGTTGGTTTACTTGATCAAGATTAAAATAGATGTTATTTCTGGTAACTCTTAATGGACTTTTGCTGACATCAGGACTGAAATGATGAGGCTTTAAGGATTTGTTTATATGTAAGAAATAGGATATGGGAAGAAAAGATCAGTTATATTTTAAGAGATGATAAGTTACTAAAATTGTTTATTTTGTAATTGTTTAAATTGTTGAAGGGGGAACTTCATATATTTCTTTTTTCTTTACTATATTATTTTTTCTTTCTTTTCTATTTTTTTCTTTTCTGCATCTATTTTTTATTTATTTTTTAGTTTGTATTAGTTTTTATTGTTGCAGTTATAATTTTTAATAAAAAATTACTGTTAAAAAAATTAAAAAGAACATTGAGCCCAATTCTGGGCATGGCACTGTAAGAAAGGCATGTGGACAAACTTTAGCGTGTCTAAAACATAGTCCTTCCCCATGAAAAGGGGCCTGGAAGGAGAAAATGGAATGGTTGAAGGCATTGGTCTGTTTCGCCTGGAATAGACTACCAAGAGACATGAGAAGGGTCTTTCAAGACCTCGAGGGTTACCATGTGAAAGAAGAGGCAGAACTGTTCCAAAAAGCAGGATAAGAAACAGTAGCTTGAAACAAGAAAGTAGATTTCAGGGAACACCAGAAAGTATTCCTACCTCAAATAGTGTTCAACAATGGAACAGACTGTCTTGGGCAGTGGTAGAGGTGTTTGACACAGAGTGGACTTCCATCTGTTGGGGATGCCATAGGAATGGATGCCTGCGATGGGCAGGGGGTAGAACCAGAAGAACTCCAAGCTCTCTTCCAGTCCGTACCTTCTATAACTCTGTACAGTCTTTCCCAGCAGCCTCACGTGGATATCAAGAAGCATAGAAAAATGGAATTATGCAGGACACCCAAGATAATTCCCAAGGGAGGTAAAACAATGTGAAGCAACACCGGGGCTCTCTTCTTTCCTCAAAAACACTCCAGTCAATAGTGAACAGAAGGGGCTGAGAGATCCAGGAGTATCAACAGGACCACACTCCCCCATGTCTGCTGGAAGAGATCACTTCCCTCCACAGAGTGCTTTCTGCTTTCATGCAGCCTGGCGGTGAGACACCAGCAAAACACAACTCCATATAATTATTTCCATTTATTTGGCAATTGCTCACTTAAATACACAAGGAAAGTCACACTCATCATACCAAAATTTCTGTCCTAAAAAAGGTAAAATGAAGTAACTGAGTCTACAGAGCAATTTATCCCAGGTATGCGTATTAAAAAAGTGGATGGCCAGTCAAACTGCACTGATCAAAATAAGAGTTGACTGGAAGATGTAAGGGGTTCGGCAATGTTGTTGGAGAGTCACGTAGTACACAATACAAGGAAGAAAAAGATTCTAACATTAAACCCAGAGCACTTCCACTGCTCTTAAAATAAGCATATTCCGCATTGGGAATATTACTACAATATCAGTAATAGTTCGGCTCGCTACGAAAGTCTATATTGTGGACAGGTGCCTCACGCCTTACGCAAGCACTGCCCCAGCAATCATTTCCTTTAAGATTGGGGAGGGGAGGGGAACTGCGGAGTAGCATTAATAACCTCAGAAACCAGAGTCAATGGAGGCCCTTACCAGACAAGTGGGGAAGGGCCCAAGACGAGCAGTGGCCTGGCTGAACCGATCTGAAGACCGACTACTCTTCCTTGGGACACAGGCAATGAAACAAGCAGACCCCTAGATGCCAAAGGGACATCTGGGTTAACAGAAATTCAAATTGCAGTTTAGGGCAGATGGGACTTGTCTACCAACCAATGCCGCCAACAGCGGCATCATCCGTCCAACAGCACTGAAGGGCCAGGGAGGAGCCTGCTGCTTTGGAATGGTGCCCACAGCACCTCCTGCCCACCAGAACTGCTGGGGCACCAGCTGCCTGCCCTCCTCGCCCAGAGGTGCTCCCTCCACCAAGAGGACGGCTATACTGCTTATGGTATCAAGCGCTGGGCCTTCTGTTCCTCCAGCCTCAACCAAGTCACTAGTGGGCGAGGGAGAGGGAGGTGGGGGGTCTGATTCGAGAAATCCCTTCCAAGGTTACTGGGAATGCAACGGAGTGTGTTAACCCCCGGAAGCCAATCTGTTCATTATCCCTGCAGCCACAAATTTGCCATGACAGCGCAACCTTCGCTAGGCAGCGATCCACCCATGCCGAGGCACCACTTCTGGGGCCCTGCCTATCAACTGCTCTTCTCCAGGCCGAAACCCAGCCCAAGGGTACCATTTGCCTCAGAGCCTGGGGGATGCCTGTGGTTGGCGAGCAAGAGAAACGGAACTTAAAAGAGACATAAAAAAATCCAGCCAAGGTCAATACTCATCTAACTCTGCACACTGCAAATGCAGCCACTAGACGATCCCTAGCCACTGTTCTCTTTTCACAAGTTGTGCAAACAAACCTGAAACATTTACATATCACCCCCAGATGCCAGAGAGAACAGCTCAGGCACTGGAAGGGTGGCGGGGGTGGGCAGGCCGGGACATTTTACTTGGTTTTCCACGAAGGGAGAAACCAGTGCTGGACTGAGGGATGAAAACATGGCCAGACAGGTGGAGCCAAAAGAGAGGCTGAGGCGTGGACATCACACAAGGCCACAGGTTCAGCATATCTGTGCACGTGTGTGTCAGGCTGAAGCAGCAGCAATCTACCCAGCCGGAAGACCCCTCTGCTGCATCGGCCTTGCAAGAGGAGCAGCCTGCTTGCCGCTCACCCCCAGTGACTCCATCCGGCCCTCCCTGCCCAGGTCTCGAAGGCCTCAACCCCCAGGGTCAGCAGTGCCCGCAGGTAGAGGCACAAGGCTGAGAGTTGACGCAAGGACAGGGCCTGGGCTATGCCCAGTTTCCACTGCCACCTCCAAGCCAGGACTGGGCTTGGTTCAGCTCAAGCAAACACTTCCAGGTAGAAAGGGTATTCCCCTGCTCGCCAGAGGACCCAGTGTACTTTTAAGTGGCTGAACTCCAAGTGTCGCCTCCTTTCTTAAGCAGGTCCCTCCCAGCACCCGTGATATGGAGAACAGCCCCATTCTGCACCGCAACCACCCTTCCATCCCCCTCCCCCAGGGCAAAAAGAACAGCACGCGGTCTGTTCTCCTTGTCCTCCCCCATCCCACAGCCTCCTTTGCCCCACTCCTGAGCCACATTTCCTGGGCAGCAACCAGGACCGCAGGCAGGTGTTTGAATCCAAGAACAAGCCCAAGGAGGGCCATTGGTCTGGCATCGCCTCCCGATACCAGTTGCCAGGGTTGCGGGCGGAAGAGGGCGCTGTCTCTGTCTCCTGCCTGCAAGCCCCCGCGGGCATCTGGGTGGTCAGGTGTGCTGTGGCCTGCCCAGCAGGGCTGTCCCTGGGGCTCCTACCTCCACATCAAAGCCTCGCTCAGAGTGCCACTTTCAGGTCGCAGGGCAAGGCCCCTCCTCCAGGCACGCCTGAGAAAACCAGGCCAGGCAAAGACAGGCAGGCTTTGTCCTGAAGGGGGGCACTGCCATGGGCACACAAACAGGCTAGGAGTTAAAGAACTATTTAACCGATACACAAAACAGCATGCTGGGTGGGGCAGACGAGCAAAAAAGAGCCCCCCTCCCATTTCAGCCTTGCAATCGTTTCATAAGGTGCAGGGTGGGGGCGCAGGTCTGGCAACGTTCTCCACGGGCAGGGGGACCAGGAAGATGCCATGCCTTGCCTGCTACGTCCTGCCGACAGCCCTGATATGCTGGAGACGATGGAGTCCTGGGGCTTCAGGCAGCGTGAGAAGAAGCCTTCCCAGGGCTACACACGCACACTGGACCTCAGCCACCAGCCAGCCCAAGAAGGTGCGGTGGTCCTCCCTCACCAAGAACTTGTGCAGCTGCTCAGATGGTGAGCGAGCTGGAGCTAGGAAGCTGGGAGACGGAGGTGGCCAGGAGGGGGCTGGTGGGCAGCACCTTGATGGGCAGGTCCCAGCTGAAAGTATCTACATCCATCTGCTCCACTCCCGCCCAGCTGACGGCTTCTGACTGGTCCTTGGTGGTCACGGGCCCCTCTGCCACGTCTCGGGCGGTGACAAACTCAAAGTGGAGCCTCCACTGGAGGGACACTGCAGAAGGAGGGAGAGCACAGGCACTCAGGGCAAGTGGAGCCAGGCTGGCTTTTGGAGTGGACAGCTGGCCTGCTTCCCCCACCAAACCGGGAGCATGAGATCAGCCCCCCACCGTTGCCCCAGCTCCCAAAGCAGGAGGAGGGGAAAGGAGGCTCCTGGGAGGCTCCTGGTTCTCTCAGCTCACTCGGTGGGGAACTCGCCTATTAGGGGGACTGGTGCACAGCCACTCCCAGAAGATGAGGGCTTTTTCAGGTGCAGCCACCCAGCGAGGCAGAGGCGCACGCGTGGCTCACCAATGTTGGTGCTGAATCCCGGGGCTGAGCTGAGGGGGATGGGCAGGCTGAAGCTGGTCCTGGAGGTGTGCAGGCAGGATTCCTGGTGCCGGGCGTGGGTGCTGTAGGACACGGCCTGCCCCCTCCGGCGCTGGAAAGCCTCCTGGACCCGCTCCTCCGTCTGCAGGCTCACCAGGTACTGGCAGAGACAGGAGCCTGTGAACAAAGGCAGCCTCCCGCCCGTCTGCGCCCCAGGCAACCCCCGAGGGGTGCCAGGGCCCCGCCCTCACCTGCAGACATGGCGTATCCCCCTCGGAGAAGCTGAACGTCCCAACCACGTCCTCCCCAATCTTGTAAATGGTCTTGAAGATGCAGAAAGTGGCCACTCGGCCCCAGGCGTTGCTGATGTTGAACAAGTCTGGGAACAAAGGCAGTGATGTCACGAGACGGGAGGGAGGAGGGGAGCAGCGCTGTGGCCCAGCCCAGCACAGCCCCCAAATGACACAGCAGGTGCTTATGCAGCAAGGGGGGCCTCTGCCTGGGGCTGAGGGGCATGTGGGGAGCCGCCTCCCAAGGCTAACGAAGGTCCCCAGGGTGGAGTTTGTAAAACAGGCAGGGCAACTTCAGTCAACGGGCTGTAAGTGGGAGGGGGCTGCTGCCCTCAGCCTCAAGAGAGAAATGCTCGTTGGCCTGCCTGGGGCAGGAGTGGGCCGCGGGACTCGGCCAGAGCCCAGCCCAGCCCGGCCCAGCTTTCCTCTGGGCTCACCCACACACAGCACAGGATATGAGGCTTTCTCCCAAAGGGAACCGTTCGGCAGAAACCCAAGCATTGGCAGTAGGAGGGGGTGGCCACAGGTGAAGCCCCCCAGGAGGGCTGGAAGCCAAGGATGGGGTCCACAGCTCCAGAGGCCATTATGCTTTGTGGCTGGAAGGGAAACGAGGGAGGTGGGCTGTGAGGGATCATCTGGTGGGGTGGAAAGGCCACATTGTGGGACGGAAGGTGACCTACGCAAACTCCGTCGCGAAGTAGCAACTGTCAGGAGCTCTGTGGCCAGGTCTGCCAGCCGGGAAGACTTCTTCATGCTGCCTTCTTCCTCCTCCAAGAACGGGTTGGAGGGGGCGACAGCCTCATCCTGGGGGAAGGGGTAGTCTCCGAGCCCTAGGGAGACAGGGCACAAAGGTCAAAGGCCTGGCAGGCTGGCATTCCAGGCCAGAGGCCAAGGGTGGCTTACCCTGGAGCACCAGCACTCGGAAGGGGACCCGGAGGAGCTTGATGGCAGAATTCACCCGCTGGCAGCCGATGGTCAGCTTGTAGACATACTTCACTGCCTGGCCACGGAAGGAGGGCGGCCCGTCCACCGGCAGCGTCTCGCAGTAGGAGTCTGGGGACAGAGAGAGGGGAGGGGGCAGCTGAGCCAGCCCAGCCAAGATAGGCGGCCAGCTTTTGGGCAGGCAGAGAAACCCCTGGATGCCACAGCAGCTCCCTTGATTCTTGTCAGATGGGTGAGGTGTGGCGGGTACCCGCTTCTCCCGTTCTGCCCTCAGCCCGCTCCTGCTGGCCCTACAGCTCTGGCTTGACCAGTCTCCCATCCGCCCACATCGCCCCCATGCGCAACTTGGGAGAAGAGTAGGCAGTGCTCACAGCTTTTGGACTCGCCGGGATCCAGCCTCAAGTCGCAGAAGAGGATCTTTGGGGGGGTCGACAGGATGCACTGACCCCGCTCTCCTGCAAGACAATGCATGTCACTGGTCCTGACCCACAGCAAGGGCCTCCCTTTTTTTTTTTAAAATATCACTTTTATTAAGAATTTTGATTATAATAATATCTAATACAAGCTAGACTTAAAAAACAAGATTGGAAAGCAGTAAAAAATGCAAAAAAAAAAAATTAAGGAATATACAAAGCGACTTCTAATCTTTATTATAAGTATAAACAAATTTGGTGACTCTTGTCCTCCTCTGAATCTACAAATATTTATCTCTTCATCCCATATCTCATCTCTTATTTATAAACAACCCCAAAAAATGTCATCTTTTCAGTCCTGGCATCAGCAGAAATTCCATAAAAGGTTACCGGAAATAACAACATATGTTGTTTTAAACTTGATCAAATAAACCAAGTTTATATTCTTTCCTTTTACTTCTAACAGTCTTTAGCTCATTCAAATATTGTCGAATTAGATTTCTCTTAATTTCTTCTTTGTCTCGTTGCACAGACCTCTTCAAGGCTTTAACAAGCCTGTTTTGTAAATCTTCTTAATTTGTCATTTATATTTCCCTTTTAAATTTTAAAACATCAGCCGTTTTTTTTTGTAGATCCAACTAAACATCCTATTCTAAGTCTTTCTCTTGGCCTGCCAGTTGTAAAGCCATTTTTAATACCATCTCTATCTTGTCAGCTAGAATTTGTTCTACGTCTGTCATTTCTTCAATAACGCGTTTTGGACACAATCTATCCGTAGAGGCAGATATCCATGGCTACAGATAGTCCTTGCCTAATGACCATAATTCGGATTGGAAACTGGGTCACTGAGCAAAGCTGTCGTTAAGCAACACACCCACGTGACTGCTTTGCTCAACTATTGCAATCTGGGCACTCCTGATTGTGGCCGTTAAGCAATCTCCCAGATCATTAAGTGGATGGCGTGAAAGAGCTGACTGCTGAAGGATTTCAGCTCCCCAAGAAGCTAAAATTCTTCAGCAGTCAGCTTTTTCGCTCAGTCCTCTTTCTCCTCCCCTGCCAGCTCCAAAATTGCTCACCAGTGTCCCCTCTGCTCAGGGAAGCCGGCAGAGAAGACTGCAAATGGCAATCACATGATTGTGGGGTGCTTGGTAGCTGGCTGTAAACGTGAGCCGCTTGCCAAGCACCAAAAAGCAGCCACGTGACAGCGGGGGGGGAGGGGGCGATGTTTTATGATAGCCAGAAGTGCTTTATGGGCCATGCTGTAATTTTGAATGTTCGTTAAACCAATGGTTGTTAAGCAAAGACTACCTGCGCTAATTTCTGACTGCATTCTTTGAAAGTCTCCTTCAATATTTTCATTGATATGCTTTGCCACCTTCTACAGGCTGGTAAATCTTTCCTGCACCTAAGAACTTTAGTCCCTTCTAGCGTCCAGCTTTTGAAATCATGAAACTGCTTATCTTTGTTTTGCCTTGTAAAAACCAAAACAGAATCTGTTTCCCATGAGAAGCTGTTTGCTCTTTACAATTTTTGCTCCTTCGCAGAGCTGTCTTCAGTTCAGACCAGCAAGGGCCTCCCTTTCCCAGAAGTCAAACTTGGACCCTCCTGGGTCAGGCAGCAGGCACCAGCCCCACGAGGGACGCTCCCGCCAGGCTCCTCCCTTGACATGCAACTTACCTCTGTTGGGCACAAAGACGGTCTCGTTTTCCGCCTGGGCATCGTAGCTGGTGTCTTCTGAAGGTGGCAGAGCCACCCTGCTCTCGCTGGCATGCAACTGGCAGTGGATCTGAGCACTGGCCCAGGCCAGCATTTCACTGGAAGAAAGGAAGAGGACAGGGCAGGCAAAGAGAGAAATGGAAGTGAATGCCAGGGCCAGGCCACTTGGCAGGTCACAGCCAGCATCCCCTGAAAAGAAATAAAGCCCACAGATGGCAAATGCACCTTCTCCCACCAGACAAAGCCATCTCCAGAAGTTGTTTCTGGCTTCCCAGCAGACAATGCTGTTTCCTACATAAGGCCCTTGCCAGCCCTGACATTCGGCTGTTGTTGCTGCCGCCTCCTCCTCCTCCTCCAGTGGTGACAGGACTGGCTCCCCGTTTCATCTGGGACCACAGTGCCAGACCCTGCTCAATCCTTGCAGCAGACTCTCTTTGGGATTTCAGGATGCCAGGAGAGAACTTGGCGCGGGAACGGCACTGCTCCATTCAGTCCACAAGGCTTTCTAATCAGCAGGTACCTTTGGCACTGGTGCGGCTGGCTACGTGCAAGAGCCCACTTCTCATGAAATTATTCACGTCTTCCTCTCCTACAGTCCCGATGCTGCAGCCAGCTGGCCTGAGTGTGGCCCCGGCCAGGGGAGGGCCCGGGGCTCTGGCTCTGCCGCTGAGCTGCGGTTAGGAAGCCGCCGGGCAAAGGCCCTCCTGGCCACAGCTGCAACCTGCTCTCGAGCAGGAGTCCTGAGTCCAGAAGGACTCCCAGACTGCGCCCCGGGTCTGTTTGCAACCCCATCCGGTGCTCTGCGAAAACGTTTATCTAAAGCATTCAGACTCCCCCTCTCAGCCGAGCGATTCTGGCAAGCTACCGACACAGAAAGCACAACGCAAAGGGAGATGCGCCCCGGGGATCTGTCCGGGGTCAACGCTCTTCGCTGCAATGTCGCCCGCTTACACCGGCGCAACGAAGAGCCCCGGGCGCCGGCCGGGGCCTGGGCGACACCCCCGCGACCCCCTTCGCGCGCACCCAGCTCCGCGGAGGACCCCGCGCTGAGCGCGGCTCCTCCAGCCACCGCGATCG